TGTCTTTGATCGTCATCAAGGTCTTGCAATTCCTCCAAAGTTTTGCCAAGAATTGAATTTGTCAAAATGTGTAAGGCTGTCTGGACCGCATCCTCGGATTGTGAGGGGTCAGTGTTTACCTCTACGTCCGCCATTATCTGCTATTTAGAAATTAAATAGTAGATGTAACGTTTAGGTGGTAACAGAAAATCAGAAAATCTCTTTTTCCTGATAAGCTTTACTCTTATTTAGTGATTTATCAATTAAACGTGCGTTATCTTCTAGCAAAATGAGTAAACTATTCAACTCTGTGAATATTTGTAACTGTATCTTATTTAAAAGTTTCTAAATTTTTATTATGTACCTGTTTCTCAAGGATTTATCAGTGAATAAAAATTTGTTTGGTAAAAGCCCTTTGCATAAATACCTTCATAACTTTTAAAACGCAAGATAACAGTGTTTATTCAGCTTTGAGGAAGTTTTTCAGCTCAAAAATTGCCTTACAGAAAAATAAAAACGTCTAATGTCACTCTTTACCTAAAAACGAAGTGAAAACCTGTGATCCCACGTCTTCTCCACAAGATGTCAGCAGATCCTCAACAATTTTAACTCAGACACTGTTTGTGTCGTCCACTAGGGGCGCTATAACTTCCTGTGGCGTCCGGTCGTTAGCTTGTTAGCTAAAATTAGCATCGGCTTGCTTCGGTGAAAACCAACACTTCTGAACGGATTTTTTACACAAACGTGGCAAAAATTTTTTTCAATCAGACCTTATATCATGAAACATGAGTTTTGTGGGACAATATCGCAGCTGTATTTAGCGAATTTAAGCACGGTAAAGCTCATTTCCGACTTGGGGGAAGTGACGTGACACGTCATCCATCCGGTCGTTAGCTTAAAATTTAGCATCGCTAGCGTAGTTCAAAAGCATCATTTTATGACGGTCTTTAAACTCAAACGTGGCGAACTTTCAGCGAATATGCTTCGAAGAATGTAAACAGCGTTTCAGAACACAGCTTTAATGCGCTTTCCAGCGTTAAAAAGCAGATTTTATTCCCTATGAAAACGAGTCTTCATTTCCGGGTGACGTGATTGACACTTCCCTCATCCAATCAGAACGTTACACACGGTCTTTCTCAACCAATGACGCAGCGTAGGGGTGAGGGGAGGTGACGTCAGTCAACCTTTCTCAGCAAATCAGAGCTTTCCAAAGCAGCAAACAACCAACCACGAAGCGTTAGCAGCCATGTTAATGTAGCCTGAAACTTTTCTATCACTTATCGTCTTCTAAACCATCAAAATGCACTCTCTCTGCTAAAAATGTAACGAACCAACCCCTGAGCTGCCCGGAGTCCGCTACTCCGGTCTCAAAACGTCTTTCTAGCTATTTAACAACTCGTTCGAACTTTTCCAGAACCGAGTCGGAACCACAGAACCGAACCGGACCAGAACAGCGTCTGGAACACAGTTTAAACAGAATAAAGCGTTTCCACAGCTCAAAGCCAGCTTATGTTACACATACAGACGTACAATTCAGCTTTATAAAGACTCAATGACACAATTTCAGCTTTTAAACATTGCCAGCGTAACACAAGCGCGCAGCTCCAATTGCGCTGCGTAAAGACGCACGGTTTTTCAGCACAGCAGATAAACTGTTATTGTACAACCTTGCCAACATGAAAATCAATGTGTACACGGTTACAGTCCATTTAGGAGCGCGTAACGGGCCACCAGTTTGTAGATGAACAGATGCTGGGATATATTCATCATTTAACGCGGGTTCCTCATTTTTCTGGACTGAATAAAACGTGCATTGAATTTAAGGAAATGCAAAGTGAGACGTCATTTATATTTGACCCATCAAAATGAATGCGGTCATTTATTTACAGAATCAAATTTAACATCAAACATTTACATTAATTTGGCAAATTATGAAAATAACAACAAAGCAATCAATCAGGAAAAATCATACGGCCATGATTTTTCCGTTGCTGCACCACAGACATTTATAAACTGTACAACTATGATCTTTTGCCCACATGAATGTGGGTGAGCATTTTACACAGACATTTCTAAATATCTGGAAGAATTTCTACTTGATAGAAGAGTTTAAAGATGGAAAGAAGTTTAGAGGGAGTTAAGATGGTATGTGAGGGAAATTAAGTGTTCACCAGAATCGACACTCTCCGGCTTTCTTCAGCTTTTCCTTACAGTACACTTAGGTGATGAAATCGGCTCCTTTACCTGGAGATGTCTCAGGTGAGATTCCGTTTAACGCACCCTTTCAGCGTCTCAGTAGGATGCTGTTACTCGTCCGAAGTAATGGCGAGGCTCTGTTCGACACATATTCACCTCAGTGGAAAATGTTATAATCCCATGGAACTCGGGAGAGCTTTGTTGTCATGTCAGGAACTCCAACAGCACTCCATCAGAACTCAGCAGAACTTGAGTAGACTCTCACCGAACTCTACGCTCTCAGAACTCTTAGAACTCCGACAACTCTCCAACTCCCAACTCTCTGTAGACCAGGAAGTACTGACATTTTAAAGACCCTTTCCCGGTTCACTTTTTGGGATTTTTCATTGGTCAGAATCGACCAGAAGGGGTGTGTTTTTGTGACGTCAGAGGTTAGAGACAGCGAGAATTGTTATGAGACAGGTCAGAAATGTTCTCACAGACCGAGAGGGTTTTGTTTTGGCGTGTTTAAGAAACAGGTGCAAAACATCTCTATTTACGTCGTGAGAGGATTCTAAAACATGACAGTTTTAACATAACAACTTGTTTTCCGTTTGACTGTAACCTTGGAAACGCACACACTTGCTCATTCAAAAGCAGAAATCAGAAAAATGCATAATTACTCTGTAACAGCTTTCAACATGAGTTCTAACTTTTGCATGAGAATAAAAACCATTACTCAGTTAATAAAATTGATTAGTTCACTGCAACATCTAAAATGGTTTGAACTAAGACACTTTGATTATCAACATTTGTAAGATAGTAATGATAATAAAAAGAGAGTGTTCTTTTCACTTGAATCTTCAAGAAAGAAAGTCTCAGGATGGGTGAACCTGTATTTATGGATTCAAATAAATGAAATGACAGTTCCTGTCCCACAAGGTTCTAAAGGTCAAGAGTTTTGACCTTAGACTTAGTTTCGACGTAGGCCTAGTCCACTACATACATATATTGATGCCATAGGAATCCCTAGGGGAGTTCCTGTGAGCACAAATTAGCAGATCAGATTGCGACAGGTTTTGAAAATTTACCTGTTGTTTCAGCATATTCTTCCGCTTGATGTCGACCTCTTTGGATGAGGTCGAAAGGGGGAATTGTTGTGAAATAAAGATTGTGTTCTTTGTTGAATTTAACATTCCAATTCTTATTTTATTTTGAAATTGACCCACTTCCTGTTTTACTTTGAAAAGGCTCCCACAGATTGAAGTCGGTTCCTGTTTACATAATGTAACACGATGTAAACCACTTCTGATTGGATTGAAAACTGGCCAATCCATGACAGCAGACTCAGAGCGCGCTGAAAAGTTAGTTTTGCTGTGAAAAGGAACGCCCTTTTTCACAGAACAAAGGATGTGCAGAGTTTTCTCCTCGAGGTAGGAAGTGGAACAGAGAGCCCTAAACTCCATGTAGAGACTGGCAACAATGGGTGACACTGAAGATCCCATGGCACAGCCGTGCTTCTGTCTGTAAAAACTGTCATTGAACTTGAAATAAGTCGTGGAGAGGCAGAGATCCAACAGGGTGCAGATCAATGCTGCCTGCAGCTTTGTTTTTGGTATTTGCAGCATTTTTCCTTTGCAATTGTTTTTTTGATTGTGCGTTTCTTCATCCATTTTGTGTGATTGCAGATATTCTCTGTTGCATTTGTTTTTTTTGGAGTTTGCATCATTCCTGTGTTTGCAGCACATTTTAGGGTGCATTCACACCAGCCCTGTTTAGTCCGCTTTAATCGAACTCTAGCCTTATATGAAGTCGTCAGCTGCCTTGTGTGAAAAACAATATTCTCCATGGTCTTCCGCCTCATCTTCTGTTCATGCTGAGTCCATTTTTGAAAAATGACAAAATATAACTCCTAAAACTGCTAAAACTTGATGCCACTCCATTTTTGTTTTTATTTCCAGAAGAAGTGTCTTCAGAGATTTTTGTGTCATTTATTTCAGTTCTTGGTGCAGCGCCCCCACAGGCGAGCGGGGGAATAGGTTGGTTCAACAGGTTGGCTCGACTGCATAGTGCAGTGTGAATGCAAACGCACCAGCTCAAATGTAAACAAAATGTCATGAATATTGATCCCCAACCGAACCGAGTCTACCGGACTATCAGGTGTGAAAACAACCTTAACTGTTTACTGTGCATTTGAAGCTTGTTTGCACCTGTCAACCACCATGGAGGCAGGACTCCTCAGCGACTCTAGCCATAAAAGATTTACATCTTCTGGGGTAAGTTGAACTAGACTTCTACAGATGGACTATTATAAAAGAGTGAAGCATCATCTACCGGACAAATATAAAAATCGAAAGTTTGGTAAGAAAGGTACAAAGAATAAAACATTACTGAAAAGAATGTATTTTATTATATGATCTGCAATTAAAAAAGACAAAACAAGGGTTATTATTAACCCTTGTCCATGCTCAATAATCCAGGTATACAATCCAACATTTTTCAGTCAGATCAAGAGTTATTATGCACAGCTAAACTGCTTGGATGTGGATTCCCATGTGTCTGTTTAAATGCGACTTCCGTTCAAACCTTTGTCCACAAAGATCACAAGCAAATGCTTTCTGTCCTGTATGGACTATCATGTGTGTGTTTAAAGTTGACTTATATCCAAACCTTTGTCCACA